GGGTTGGGACTGGATGAGCTTTCAGGTCCCAGACCATTCTATGATTCTATGGTAATTACTAAATCTGAACCCAAACCTTAGTGAACAGACCAATAACTCACCACTCGCCTAAGATTCACCTTTACATTAATACTTAACATCTGGCACTAAGTGACCTTAATTCTTTACATAAATGTGTTTTATTTTATGCAGTCATAATATGGACTTTGTATCTAAAATAATTTGAGACTTGAATTAAAAATCCTGTATGAAAATTAATTTGGGCAGTAATTGTTCTGCAGAATCAGAATATATTATGGATAGAAGTTATCAGTTACGGGAAGGTCAAATTAGCTTTCAGCTTCTTAGAGAAAGATTTCCTACAGGTTAGGGGAAAGATATCCATTCTGTAGTTGTATCCACTTTCCCAGTTCATTGGGGAAGAATTTATGGACAAATTAGTAAAATAATTTCATACCATTCAATAGAGAAGCTGCAAGGAAAGAGAACTAGATAATTAGTGGTATTAAAAGTCTTATCTTTTGAGAATCATTTCAACTACTTATTAAACTAATAAAAAAACCTAGAGCTTTAAATATTCTGCAGTATGGAACAGCTTGGAAGATCCTGAAAATCCCAGCCCATGCCTGCAACACAAGGAACAAAACTCCATTTTTAGTTCTTTTTTTGAAGAGCCACCCATGGCCTTTTGTTTTGATATTTTACACAGGGAATGAAGTCACTTCAAATCTGTCCTCTTGTCTAATTCTGACAAGACTTCACACTACAGGAAGCAGCACCCACTCGGATTATGATGCAGTGATATGGAACAGCCCCAAATTGGGGGGTTTTTTTAAGTATTACTGTTTATTGATGTTATTGAACAACAAGAATTAGGTCTCAGAAGAACAAATCTTCCATTTAATACGGAGGGAAGGAGCCTCCAGGTTCTCAAAACCTTTATTTTTACCTTTTTTTTTTTTTCCTGAAGCTGAATTACCAAACCTATTTTCTCACAGAAGCAGTTTTACAGCACATAACCTGGCAATTAAAATCAGAAGCATAATTTGTCTAGACTTCTGTTATATAGCTAAAAATTTTCTCTAGGGAGCGTGCAAGCGAGGCTACAGCTACAGAAATGGCTTTCTGCTCTGACAGTCTCATTAGTACAATCCCTGAATGGCTTCAGCATAAAATACAAAAGAAAAAAGGTTTGTTCCTTCAAAATGTATTAAATGGAGGTAATATCCTTCATGAGGAAGGCTGTGGTAGCTTTATAAAGTATATGTTTTATTAAACAACGGTATTTTATACCAAAATGGAATTTTCCTACTTATATCTCAAAGCATCAGGGTTCCAACTGGTCCCCAAAAGCCACAAGTCACCTTAGAGGCTTCGACACGGAGTTCTGGAAACGTGTCAGCAGCACAGCAACTCCCTCAAGGAAAGAGGGAGTACAAAGCTTCATCATCATCATCATCATCATCATTTTGTCAGTTAATGACAGAACAAGGGGAAATGGGTTTAAGCTGAAAGAGGGGAGGTTTAGATGAGATATTAGGAAGAAGTTCTTCACTGTGAGGGTGGTCAAACACTGGAACAGGTTGCCCAAGGAAGCTGTGGCTGCTCCTCCCTGGAAGTGTTTGTGGCCAGGCTGGATGAGGCTTTGAGCAACCTGGTCTAGTGGAAGGTGTCCCTGCTGCTGGCAGGGGGGTTGGGACTGGATGAGCTTTAAGGTCCCTTCCAACCCAAACCATTCTGTGATTCTATGATCATCATCATTCCTCTCAGCAAAGCAACTGCTCTCAAATGCACACCCCCTAAGTGACTATTAAGGATTTCAGCACAGAATTGAAGCCTTAGTGACAAGCCAGCCTCTGTGTTGTGGCAGAATTAATTGGTGGAGCCTGGAATTGAAGACTTTCACGCTCGTTAATGCACCGAAACGCAGCGCGAAGGTTACACGACTATTTCATTATACAGGGAATAATCTTGCTACTAATACACAAAGTCAAGGGATATTGTAATAACAGAGCCTTTAATCCTGTCTATAACTCACAATTTATAACCTTGTTTTAGTCACTTCTGATACAATTCTGCACACAGCTATTTGTGTAAATAACTATATATATAAAATACACAAATATGTGTATATTTTATATATATACATGTGCGTGTGTCCCGGTTTTTAGCTGAAACTGAGCTGGGTTTTCTTTTTCAGTAGTTAGAATAGTGCTGCATTTTGCTTTTCAGCTTGGGACTTGTTATGAGAGAGACACTAAGAACACCCCAGTGTTTGCATTTTTGTCCCTGGGAGTGAAGGACTTTGTGTTTGTGAGTCTACAAGCACAAGATCTCAGGGAGGTGAGGAATGTTGTAATGGATCAGCTCCATGGGCATTGGGCTCTGCCAAGGGGCTGTTCCATCTCCTGTCCCCCATGGGCAGGAGATCCATGAGGGGCTCTTCCTCTCTTGCTCTCTCTGGCTTTGGCTCGGGCTCTGGCTCTCCCGGGATTGCGGTTTCGGGTCGGGATTGTGGCTCCTGCGGGATCGTGATCTGGGAACGGGCCGGGCTTGGTCGGTGGGTGGTGAGCAATGGCACTGGGTGTCACTCATTTGCATATTTTATTACTGTTATCATTATCACTACAATTTTAATATTAGTATTATTTTAAGTTTCCTTTTCTTTCTATTATTAAACTGTTCTTATCTCACCCTACAAGCCTCCTTATCCTTGCCCCCCAATCCCCTCCCCTATCCCCTGGGGTTGGGGGGCAGTGGGTGAATGGCTAACCAAGGACTAGCCCAGTGAAACTATCACAGCCTGCGTGCATTTGTTCTGTGGAGACACCCAGGAATGTCTGCCTTCAACATCTTGCACTACTGCATTTCCTCCTACCATTAAGAGCAGCTGCCAAAACGCTTCGGCGGTCACGACTCCATATGAGAAATTGCTCGATCAATGTAAAAAGCAATATCCCATTATGCACTGAGTCAGGAGGGATGTGCAGCTCCAACTCTCTATTCAAGATCCAGGGAGATCTTATAGCAGCCTTCCAATACCTGAAGGGGCTACAAGAAAGCTGGGGAAGGACTTTTCCTAAGGGCAGTTAATGACAGAACAAGGGGAAATGGGTTTAAGCTGAAAGAGGGGAGGTTTAGATGAGATATTAGGAAGAAGTTCTTCACTGTGAGGGTGGTCAGACACTGGAACAGGTTGCCCAAGGAAGCTGTGGCTGCTCCTCCCTGGAAGTGTTTGTGGCCAGGTTGGATGAGGCTTTGAGCAACCTGGTCTAGTGGAAGGTGTCCCTGCTGCTGGCAGGGGGGCTGGAACTGGATGAGCTTTAAGGTCCCTTCCAATCCAAACCATTCTATGATTCTATCTGCTAGGAAGCACATTTTGCTTACATAACTAATAAGCTCCAACAAAATTTCTTTCACACAAACACCAGCTCAGCCCCGTGGCATTTACTACTTTCACCAGTTCACTGTTTGCCAAGTGATTTCTCTTTCTTCAACGCAAGGGCTAAAACTTCACCTGGCCAGCAGGCCAGAAATTTAAGAGCCGCAGCTGATTTCACAACAGAAACCTTAAATTTTGTTGCAGTTGCATCAGCTCAAAAGACATTTCACTGCTTTCCCCCCCGATTCAAAAGCCACTCATCATCTACCAGAAATAAATAGCAGCGTTGGCTGTCCAAGAACATTTGCTCACACTTTCAGTGCTTTCCAACAGAGTGGGAACACCAGTTTACACCGTCTCACTGTACACTGGAAACATTTTAAGCCATCATATTCCTCCTTGACTGGTTTGCCCACATTCTTTCACTGAATCCGTATCAGAAACAATCCTCAGAATTGTGTTTCCCCAACTTTTTGGCTCCCTTCAATCTAAACACCCAATCTGGATTATCAAGAATGATTCCATACCCACAAAGCTTCTTCAATAATTCCTTTTATCTAAAGGGAAAGAAATTCTGGCTCATTTTCTTCAAGGTCAGGGATCTTTTTGAACCTCAGCCAACAAGTCAACTCTCAGACGTCGTTTGTTGTGTACAGGCTACAAATATCCCCCCAGACACCCTTTGCAAAGGCTTCCCCATGTCTAGGGAAGTTCTATTTCCACAAGGAGCAGGTTACTCACCTGTTTTACATTGTATCCTGCTTTTGCACTAGTTTCGATGAACATTACATTCAGCTCTTTGGCTTTTCTTTCTCCTTCCTCAATGGACACTTGTCTGGAGAAGACAACACAAAATTAGAAAAAAAACCCCACAAAACCAAACAACAAACAAACACCTTGAAAATAACATAGAATTAGGAAAGAAATAACACCAAACATCTTGAAAATTAAGATTTTAATCTTCAACCTAAGGAGATATCTGCTTCATTACAGTTCTAAAAAGCATTTAATTTTTTTCTCCATGCCACATACCAAGCACAGTGGTAGACAAGTATCATCATTTCATCATATCAGATGGAATTTTACAGCACACTTGGCCACAAAGAAAAGAAAACAAAACTTGGCCAAAGAAAAACTCAGCTTTCCAGGGGAACAGGTAAATGGGCCAACGAGACTCCTCTAAATCCCTGTCCAGGAAGCTATGCTTTTATGTCTGAACAATTAGCAATTAATAGATTCTAATATCCAGTAATAATCATCAACTTGCAGCTTACAAAACTGTTTTTTAACAAAGGACCAAGTGTGATCATCTCATATCAAACGAATTTTGCCCCATTTGTCACTGGCTGGGTGTCCCTCCCATTAATCAGTCTGCTACAGCAAAAATTGGGGGAAACTTTGGTTCAAGAGCTATCCTACAAAAATCATGAGGTATCTGAGGGGCATGTGTGTGTGTAAACAACTCTTAAAAAAGATGTTAGAAATCTGAAGTAAGGGTCACAAAGTGAAGGTATTCTGAGGAAATAGGGATTTCAATCAAATCCAGATTATTTCCCTCTCATGCTTTTGTTTTACCTTTGTGACTTTTTACTCCTTTGTGTTAAGAACACCACAAACCCAGAAGGAGAAGAGTACACAACGTGGCAAGAGCTGGAGATTCACAACTTCTAATGAAAATATTTAAGTTTGTCAACTTCTAAAAAAATCTCTGAAGAGTTTTAAAAGGGAATTATTACTATCATTTCATAGAATCATAGAATGGTTTGGGTTGGAAGGGAACTTAAAGATCATCCGGTTCCAACCCCCCTGCCAGCAGCAGGGACACCTTCCACTAGACCAGGTTGCTCAAAGCCTCATCCAACCTGGCCACAAACACTTCCAGGGAGGAGCAGCCACAACTTCCTTGGGCAACCTGTTCCAGTGTCTGACCACCCTCACAGTGAAGAACTTCTTCCTAATATCTCATCTAAACCTCCCCTCTTTCAGCTTAAACCCATTTCCCCTTGTTTTGTCATTAACTGCCCTTAGGAAAAGTCCCTCCCCAGCTTTCTTGTAGGGTAAGGACTTTTCATAAGGGCAATTAATGATTTGTATCAGAGTAAACCTATTAAGCATGAATATTGTAACAACTTTAGCTTCTTCGTTCACTGATAGAGGTTGTAGTTAACACTCCATTCTCTCCTGACAGCTGAACAAGTTGGTGACAGTTTCTCAACTCATTCACAGCATGGATACTTGTGCTTAATCAAATAAAAAGAAGTTTTAAAATGGAGATTTCTCTGGTCACAGCATCTCCAGCATAGTTAAAACAAGTTTAAGCATTTTGGAAATAAATAATAAATAAATAAATAAATAAAAATGTTATTTTCGAAATAGTTGTCTAGGAGAAAACAGCAGCACTTTAAGAAAAGCATTTGAAAGATGAGTTTTATGCCTCCATACCTCTTATCTGCTAGATCTGTTTTATTTCCCACCAGCATAATGATGACATCACTGCCCCTTTCCGTTCTGACATCATCAATCCATTTTGTTGTTTGCTGGAACGAGTTTACATCTAGCAGAGAACAGTGGAGAGGATTATCACTGTGGGTGTTTTTCACAGATCACTGGTAAATACATCTCTAAGTCTCAAATTAAAGCTTCCTATTCTCTGGATTTGGTATAAATAGGGTGATGAAGAATCAGCGAGTGAAACCCTAAATCCCCCCACAATGACATAGATAGAAAAATTTGGAATTAACTTAAAATGGACTCGTACTTCATTACAGGTGAATTCAAAACCAGGGAGTGAACTGAGTTGATCTACAATGTGGTTTTGACAGAGTCTAAAATGAGAATTATCATCGTGGTTTAGACCAGTTCCTTATTTTATCTGAATTAATGTGATATTGCATTCTACACTGCTCGTGACTCGTGCATCTACAGCAAGAGGTTCCTACAGCTTCATTGCTTCTTAAAAGTATTTAATAGTACAGCTCAATTACTCTTTCCTTGCTAGGTTCAGGATTTTCACTAGGAAATTTCAGGGTTATACATCATACTAGCAACTCCTCTATCATCGAACAGCGAGCTCCAAATAGTTTCCAAATCATTTCCATAGAACCACAAATACTAATTTAACCTATCCACAGACACTTTTTTTTTTTCGTGATACACCCTTAAAAGCTCTGAGATAAGATTTTTAGGAAGTTATCTTGATCTAATGAGACAGAATGTTGTTTGTAAAGTTGCATCCCCTCAGGAAAATCCAAGTTGTATAGAAGCTGCCACGGAGCTCCGCGTTAGCTACACAAAGAGCATCTGAGTTGCTATTAGTACTTAAAAAAAGGAGGGGCTCTGCAGCAGTTCTTGACAAATATTGATTTTTTTTAATGGTTTCTACTAGATAGTTAATATATCACATGCCAAACAACCAAGATTTGATCACTTGCCAGCGCTTTAATTCTTCTCTTTATTACTTGGTAATATTAAATTTGCTAGGTCAGTCAAAAAAAATTTCGAAGCTAACATTAAAAAAAATTACAGCTAAGCTGGAGTTTTAGCTGAAATGAAAGTGTTATTTTTATGAATTAAAGCTTTTCTAGGTAAAACCCCTATTCCTGTTGTAATCTTCTAGTATTTCTAAATCAAAGGAGAAGCACTTTTGCATTTGTATAGAATTAGGCCACCGCTCTCGGTGAATTTCGCCTTAGAACTGAAAGTAACTGAAGGTTTAATTCTCCTGAAACCAAATTTCTGTTCTTTTTAAGTAGAGAAAACTAGTAAGTTCGGGGGTCTCTGGATGGAGGGGGGGGGCAGAGAAGGAGAAGGGTTGAAAAAGCGCTAATATTTTAGTTGACAAAAACGTACATACCTTAGTAAGAAATGCAAGAGCAATTGTTAAAGGGCTTAGTGGTTACATTTTCCATCTTGCAAAATGTGAAAGTGACCGATTCGAATGAAAAATGTGATGTTAATGCATTTCCCCTCCCCAGCCCATGCCCTTATTTTTTAATTATTCTTTATTTTTTCCTTTGAGGGGTGTGTGTGGGGGGGTGGGGGTGGTAAATGGAGTGAGGCAAGCTCCAGTTATCAGTGCAAAATCTCTTCATATTAAGATTTCAGATATTTATGAACATGATTCAGGTGTTTGAGACCATAAAGTCATCAGTGATATTACAATTAAAAAGCAAATGAAAGAGGGTAAAAGTGCAACAAGACCAGCCAGGAGGACTCAAGGCTTGAGGAGAATGCAATTAGGAAAGGGTTACAAAATGATGTCATCTGTAAGACAGTTTATACATAAGAACAGCAGTAATTGGGTGGTTAGCTTAAAATTTGACTACAATAAAAGAAAACATATATATATATATATATATATTTATTTTTTCATGCCAGAATGAAGAACAAGCAGATGAGTGTGAGAGGACATGCAAAGCTAGGCTAAAGGATGAAAGGGGCAGAGTATTAGAAATGCAGAATTCCCCCCACTCACTTGTGATATCATAAACAACAACTGCAACAGTGGAGTCACGAATGTAGCTAGGAATCAAGCTCCTGAACCGTTCTTGACCTGCTGTGTCCCATAATTGCAACCGTACCTAACAAAATCAGTCAAACAAGCAAGAAAAATAAAGAAGAAGAAAGGTCAAACCCAATGCAATATACCTACTTGTGATATCGTAAACTACTACAGCAGCAGCAGAGTCACGGATGTAACTGGGAATGAGGCTACGGAAACGTTCCTGACCAGCAGTATCCCACAGCTGCAACCTGATCTGTGGGTGGGAGAAAATTAAAAAAAAGCCAAACTGCCACTAAAAATTAAAAAAAAAAAGAAATTTTACTTTTTTTTGGAAAAAAAAAAATTAAAAATAAAATAAAAAAAGCTAAATAAAAAATGATAAACTCATGCAGGAGATGACTGGGGATTGGGAGCAGCAGCAAACTGTCTCCTTTACAACCATCTCTCCCAATCCAAACTGGGATACGTGCACCTATCTTGGCTTTCCACTGTCTTTATTCTTTAAAAAAAAATGATTCATTTCCAAAAGGGGAGAAATAGAATTGTTCAGCTTTCAAAACTGAGAGAACTAACAAGAAAACTGAGGCAAATGTTCACCTGCAGTTCTGCCTACACAAGATTTTCACGCTCCGCTGCTATCCTTCCTCAGGACTCCAGCGTGTCACCTCCAGTGTCCTGGAGGATGGTGGCTGGTGGGAAGATATTTCAGACCACACATCATACTTGTTAAGGAAGAGCCTTCAGCTGCTGTCAGAGCACTGGAAAAGCTACTAATGTGTATTTTTTGTGGATAAAACACTAGTTCTTACTCTATATTTAAGCCTTTAGCCACAATGAAAACTAACATGCAACGTGGATGAGGTTGAATGTCTCTTATCATCGAGGTTCTGAAAGAAAAGGCAAGATATACTAAAAGCAGCAGGTATGGCAAGATACACAAGGGCCAGTTTCGCTAGGGAAAGAACATCCCATCACTCCAGCACTTTCATATTTCTTGTGGGGTTTCTACAATCCCATCAGCTTGTGCAGCGCTGCCCAATTTGCTTCTGCAAATAGCTCAACGGCTCCATTTCTTAATTAAGAATCTGAGCTCATTTTAAACCAGAGGTTTTTGCATCCACAGAGGAGTGATTTAATTTCAGGAAGGAGAGCTGCACACCAAGATAAGCAACGAGTATCATTTGTGGATTACTGTTGAAGGCAACCTTCTTTTTTCTACAAGTCATATTAAGAACTATCGAGGCAGCTATTAACTGGTAACATTTGGTAATTTATAATAATGTATTTATATTTCATTCATGAAAAATAGAAGGGGTTCAGCGTGGTCTCCTTTTCCTTATGGACTCCTCAAACTATCCGTGTCCCCTCTTTAAAGAAGATGACACTATAGGACCTTCTACCACTTGTAAAATGGCACTCGTGGGTTCCTCCAAGGAGGAACCAAATGGTGATTACTCGTTTCCCCAAACAGAGAGGGGAACTGTCTCCACAGCACTGGTTAATCTGGAAGCAGCTGGTAAAATGAAGGCTCAGCTGAGTTTTTTTATTTCCAAAGTGATCTCAGAACTGTGGGCTGCACAATTCCAGCAGATGCAGATCCTCGTTCTTACTGTATATCGAGAAGTGCAACAAAAATCTTACTCACTGTTCGATCCTCCAAATACATGGTTTTCGATAAGAAGTCAATGCCAATCGTTGCCTGTAAAAGAAAAAACACACAAAAAAAAGAGAGAGAGAAGAGAGAAAAAAAAACAACACCTCTTAAATGAAATGTCAGAACACAGAACAACCGTGGTGATTTTCAGAAGAGTGAGAATTACTGCCACATCAAAATTCAGCACCTGTAGTGGATCTGAGAGAAAAATCTGTTGGTTTTCTGATTTTCAGGATATAACTCTACCTATAAGATTCAACAGGCATTTTCCTTAATACCCATAACCAGAATAATATCTTAAAGCACAACATGTTGTTGACTTTGACTTGACTTTATGGATATTGGTAATTTAATCCAGCAAGGATTTTTATATGTGTGACCTAAACCAGTGTCTATCAGCTGAACCAGGATATCTGGGCACACTGTATTCTTCCTGGCTGTCAGATATCTTAAAATATCTTAAATTTAAGCCTTTTTCATTACAGGTAAGGTGGACATCTTCACATCTGCTGCAACACAAGAGCGGGTGCACAAACAGAGTCTTCAACAATTTCTAAATTTCAGTTAAAACTGCAGCAAAACTGCATCCAAGTTTCCAGTCGCTAATGGGAGCTTCACACAGAACATCTTTCTATGTGCTTCAGAAAATGACCAAAGCATACTAAGTGCTATCAAGAGCTACTTCTTAAATACAAGATCTTCACCCCATTTTTCAAGGCTGCAGTGAGGGTGAAGCCAAGCTCTAGGAGCTCGTTTACAGCAGGTCAACAACCACGTTGACCT